CCGCACCTCTGATTCCCGAATTGGGCTTTGGATGAGGTCCCATTCCCTGCCCCCCCTCCTCCCCACTGCCCCGACCTCTGCAGTGCACCCACTGTCGCTTTCAACCTGCTCTCCTTCCCACGTGCGTGAAGACTTACAGCACCCACCGTGAAGGCACAGATCATGCCAATTTTTGTTTAACATGCAATTCTCAGAATTTAGCGTAGGGCCTGTAGCGTTGACATATGGATGAGTATAAATGTCCATTAAAAAAATTAAGTGGTGATAGAGGCAACCATTGTGATTAATGCCACTCGGAAATGGTTAGAATGGAGAACTTTATGTATCTTATCATAATAAACATTTTAAAAATTAAGTTTTATTCCTAGGATGTGACTTGAATGCACACAGGGGTGTGGTCTTTTGTGAAATAGACTGTAAAATTGAATGTTGCCAATAAACGTTGTATGTTAAGCCTTGTGAAGTTGGGCTACTGTTGTCAGTTGTGTCTGGTATTGTTCAACTTGCCTGGAAGTCTTGGGAGCCAGGGAGCCAGTGGGGCGGGTGTGGAGTCGGCCACTAGAGCCTTCAGTTACTGTGCCCTCACTCAACTTCTGCCCTGATGCAAAGTCCTCGATATTTTTGGATAAAGTTTCCATTAGCATAAATTTACCTTTCCTGAATTTGATGCTCTTCAGGTCAGGTCTCTGTCTTCCAAAGTGATATTATAGATAATTTGATAAGGAGAATTTTATGACTGGAAGGAAATCTAAGTCCAGAGAGGTGAGGTGACTTGACCAAAATTATGTACTTTGTTAGTGGCTGTTCTGGGACTAGAATCCCTGCATCTGTTCTTAGTTCTGTGTTCTTGACATTATGGTAGCTGTGTCCTTGCTCCTGATCTCATCCTGTTTTATTATTATTAAATTTTTTTGCTTAACAATATTGGATACTAACAATGAATTCAGATCATATTTGGTGAAATTTTCTTCCCTGTCTACCAAAGGAGGATCTACTAATCATTAGGGTCTAATATTGATAGTTCCTAATGCCTTCAGTTAGCTGCCTGAAAACAGTACACATTTATTAGAAGTCCACAATTAATAAAATTTCTTGTGAACCCTGGCCAAATTTTTTTCCTAAGTTTATCAAGGTTTCAGTAATACTCAAGAAACGCGTTAACTACTTTGAAAGATTTTTCACAGCTTGGGCAAAAACCTTTGTTTCAAACTCTTTGTAAGATACTTCTAATAGGGGTTGGCCATCTAACAACCTAAAAGTCATTAACTACAGCTCTATTAAATTTATAAAAATCATTCCCAATAAGGTACATTGTTCTTTTCTATGTAAATATGATGGTGACAAAAATAAGTAAAGAAACCACAGAAATTTATTGACATTGGGAAACAGTAAACAAACTGTAATGTTTTTTAAGATAACCAACCAAACAACAAATAAATAGCCAGACAAACAAAACTAGAATATAAAGATTAGAAACAGCAGAACCATGAGGTGAAATTGAAGCTAGGTGAGTAGAAACAGATTGTGTACAAACATCACTTCCTCTGTCAATCTTTCTCATATGCCCCACCCACAGCAGCCTTTAAGCTCTATACACAATTCCATCACTGCTGTAACATTTCATTTCAATTTTTTGTTTATGTATTATATGCGATCCACCAATTTTAATAAAAATCTTTTAGAATTATTACTTTTATATCCATAAGTGTTACAGGTATCTGTGGACTCAGTTTTACTACAACTCTCTGAGTGGGCATCATCCTGGGTGATTGCCACAGAAAGTGATTCATGACATTTAGAACCCATGTGGCTCATCTCTAATTTACTACTGACTTCATTTATATGTGCTGTTTTTCTAATATTATCATCCACTTGGAAAAGGAGTCTACTGAAGGGACCCAGAAGTGAGGCAAATACGTTTCAACCTCTTTTAGTGTTATTTAGTTAAACCTTGCTGTGTATTTTGCTCACCTCTTTTTTGTGCTTGCAAGTATGTAGACATTTGGTATACTTCTCCTTCCTAATTTTGACTTTTCATCACAAGGTATTGATGGTTGGCAATCCAACAAAACAGACACTTTGATTAACACTGCACATTCAGTAGTCTGAGGTTTACTTTTATTTTCATAAACTCTATGTTTGTTTTATACCAGGGCTATTGCTAGCTACCTCAGATGGATTGGATAGCATCCCAGCTTTTCTTAGGCCCCAGAAGAATTTATATAGCGTAGAAAACACTTAGTCCTTGACAGTTTGACTGCACTTTCCAGTAATATTCGTTGGCCCTAGAACTATTTTTGGAGGTAGTTTTTAGTAACATTTCATTGGTTTATTCATGTTTGTAATACTTGAGTGTGTTTTGACAATTTTAATTTTCCAAGAGAACAATTCACTTCATTAGGATTCAAGAATGTTCAGATAGATTCCTTCTTTCATTCTTTTAAAAGATATTTTATTGATTTTTTACAGAGAGAGGAAGGGAGAGGGGGGGATGGAAACATCGATCAGCTGCCTCCTGCATGTCCCCAACCAGGGACTGAGCCTGGAAACCCCGGCATGTGCCCCTACTGGTTCGACCTATGACCGGTTGGTGCAACCACTGAGCAAAACTGGCTGAGCCCTTCTTTAATTCTTAATTTAATTTTTTTGTTTTTTCTTTAAAATTAGATTTTTCAGATTTTATGTTTAATTTTATTATTTGATTATGTGTTTTCCCTTTCCCTTGCAACCATCTTTGAATTTATCAGTTCTGTGGGGTTTTTTCTTGTAGTTACTAGATTGTTCATTATTTTAATTATTTTCTTCCTTCCCTTTTTCCTGTTTGTTTGACCTTTCCCCTAACTTTTTAAATTGGAAAGTTGGTTTAAAATTTTTATCATTCCTTTTAAATAATGAAATCATGGAAATCTATTGATTTATCTCTTCAGCACTGGTTATATTCTGAAAGTGCAGTGTTTTTGCTCTCTTCTATTAGGGCTTATTTACTATAATAGTTATTACAAGAAGGAGTGTAATATTTTAATTACCAAGTGGTAAAGATTTGATTTGGCTTGTTAATTTTACCAATGTGATGAGTGAAATAATATTCTATTTTTTTATCATTTATTTATTTAAAAATTTAAAAAATGTATTGATTTTAGAGAGAGAGAGGGGATGGGAGGGAGAGAGAGAAACATCAATTTGTTGTTCCACTTATTTATGCATTCATTGGTTAATTCTTATATGTGTCCTGGCCTGGAATTGAACCTGCAACCTTGGTGTACCAGGATGATGCTCTAACCAATTGAGCTACCCAACCAGCGCCCAATATTCTGTTGTTTTAATGATCATTTCCCTCTTTAATAGTGAGGTTATCACTTAATATATTTATTGGGGTTTTTTTCTTCCTTCTGTAAATTGTTCATGCTTTGTATAGTTTTCTATTTATTATCTTTGACATTTGATTGTAGAACTTCCTTATTTAAATAGCAATCATTCTTTTTATGTAGATATATATATGTATATATATACAGCCAAAGTATTCTTTCAATTTTTGGTTGGCCTACTGATTTTATTTATATTACTTTTTCTTGTAAAGACATTCTAAATTTTAATAGAGCTAAATTTATCAACCTTTTCCTTTATAGTTTGGTGTGTGCATGCAAGTGTGTACACTTTAAGAAAAACTCACCTGAATAATCCTGTTGGAATCTTTATTAAAATTGTATTGAATTTATAGACTAATTTGGGTAGAATTGACATGTCACAATATTAAGACTTCCCTTCTATATGCATTACAAGTTATTCCAGTAACTGATCACTAGACCGTCCTTCACTGACTGGTCTGCAATGCCTCCTCTGCCAGCAAGAGGCTTTCTTATGTGTGTGGATCTGGTTCTGATTT